CTGCCGGAGGGGAGGGAGAGACGGAGAGCGCGGGGGGCCGGGGGGAGTACCGGGGTGGAGGGGGACGCGGGCCGGCGCTCACTGCTTCTTCTCACGGGTGGTGATGGTGACCAGCTGTTTGGCGGCCTTGGCGATGTCGTAGGCACACTGGATGACCTGCTGGGTCAGGAGCTGGTAGTCCACGGCGGCGCCCGGCTCGGGCGGCACGGTCTTGCGGCACTCGCTCTGCAGCCGGTAGGCGCTGGCGTTGAGCAGCCGCAGGGAGCTCCGCACCGTCTCCAGCGCCGGCTTCTGCAGTGGGGCAGAGGAGCAGCATGAGGACCCGTGCCGGGGCGGTGGGGGGGTTGATGGTGCCTGGTGGGGATCCCCCCATCCCTCCTACCTTGGGGAAGAGCGATGCCATCTCCGTCACAGCCGAGTGGATCTTCTCCGAGCAGGGCATGAAGCTGGGGACAAGGAGAACGGGTGAGCGGCGGCGGGGGACAACGGCTCCCGAGCACGCAGGGTGGCAGGGATGGCCCTGTGTGAACGCAGCCCCCTGGTCTGGGGGTCCAGAAGGACCCCAAAGCTGCGCCCCAGCCCTACCTGTCGTGTTTGGACTCCTGTGCCGCCCGCAGCAGCTCCTGGATGTTCTTGGTGACCTGCTCGGTTTTGAGGATGACGTCCTCCGTGCTGGGCAGCCCGGGGTCCAGCTCCCCGTCCAGCGGGTCCAGCTCGTGCGGGAAGTCCTCATCCTTGCTCAGCTCCACGAATCGCTTCCCCTCCATGCTGCAGGGATCAACCGACCCGCTGGGGTCAGTGCCAATCCCCCGTCCCCGGCGCAGACCCCAGCCCTGGCACTCACCTGATCAGGACCTCACCCGCCTGCGTGTTGTCGTAGTCGCTGTCGGTGCCGCTGCCATGCCGGTCCAGCTTGCTCTGGAGGGGAGAGGAGCGGCGTCAGGCGCTGCCCATCCCCATCCCCACGCAGGGCTAGGGTCCCCCCACCCCGGGAGCTGCCCCCCCACGCTCCCTGGTACGTCACCATGTGCCGGGCACCGTCGGGCGGGCAGGAGAGCAGCGGGGAGGATGGGGGAAAGGGCACCGAGGAAGCAGACGGACCTTTCCGGATCTGGAGGGGGAAGAGAGGGGAAGCCGGTGCTGACCAGGGCGCAGAAGGGTCCGGAGTTGAGCCCGGTGACGTGCAGGGGAGGACGAGCACAGGGGACACCACCACCCTGCATGCAGGAACGTCCCACGGCCACCGTCCCCCGGGGAGGTCCCCGGCCTGACCCGGGGGGCGCAGGGTGGCGGGGGAACGGGACGTCCCAAGACGGCACGGAGGCCACGTCCCAGGAGGGGGACGGCCACCACGTTCCATGCAGGAGCCGCCCCCGCCGCGGCCCCCTTACCCGGTACACGCTGGCCGGGATGTGCATGGAGTACAGAGCCTCATCCTCCACCTCCTGGTGACACAGGAAAGGTTACGGCCCCGCGGGGACGGGACCCAGCACCCTGGGGGGGGGCTGCACCCCAAAAACCACCCGCCCACCCCAGCACACTCACCCCGGCGCCGAAGGGCTGCAGCCGCGTCACCAGATCCTCCACCGGCTGCCCGAAAGGTTTCAGCGCCGAGCCTGGCTCGTACATGGAGAAGGCCTGGCGGTCCCGGCGGTGTGGGGGGGCTGTGCCCGGGGGGTGCCCGTGCTCCGGCCGCTCGCTGGGAGCCGGGGTTGGGTGCGCCGGACCCGTCTGCTGCCGGATCTGCGTGTTCTCTGCCTGCAGCTTGTGGATCTGCAGCCAAGGGGGAGAAGGCATCAGCGAGGAGGGGGGGTATGCTGAAGTCGGGGGGGGGGTCCCACCGGCCCCACACCCACCTCGCGCTGCAGCCGGCGCAGCTCGTCGCTCAGGCTGTTGTTCACCTTCATCAGCTGCTGCACCTTGGCCTCGGAGGCGGCCAGAGCCTTCTTCACTTCCAGATATTCCTGCAGCGTGATGGGGCCATCCGAGAGGTCGGAGGAGTCCATGCTCTGCGGGGAGAAGGGCTCAGCGCCGGGATCCCAGAGCCAGGATGGGGGTCCAGGGCGGGGGTTGAGGCTCACCCTGGCACGGTTGTTGCGGGAGGCGTTGCGCAGCAGCTCCTGGTCCGTGTCCTCGTCGGAAGCGACGCTGTCGTAGTCGTGCTGGTCGTCCAGGTCGCTCTGGCTCCGCAGCGAGTAGTCGAGGGCGTCTGGGGGAGGGCAGGGGGGTGCTGAGCACAGGGCGGGGGGG